CATTGGTCTCCGTTCTGACAGCACAAAAAGTGAATCAAACTTCTCTCTCCTCCCCTCTCCTCTTACTAAGCAAGGTCAGCTGATTCTGCATTTTAAAAGTTCAAAACTTTTCTCCAGGAAATTTGTCCCCGGGTGTTTCTTTGCAGGGCGAAACTCTTTCTTCTGGGGTGAGAACCGAAGGTGGCACTTGAAGGTTTGGGGAACTTTCTAGGCTTTTCATCTGTCCCTGCTTCATCTTTCAAAATGAAGTGAATGCACAGGGCATGATCGTCCCTGAAAGGGTTAACTGCCAGCCCGGCTGTCCAGCCCTCTGGGATTGCCAACCAATGATAACTTAACATGATGAAGTAATGCTTGCATTTTGAGTTCCATTGGTTAATACGCTTGTCCATCAATCCAAAGATGCAAGTTTTGAAAGTATCTTTGAACTTTCATGACTCTCTTCCTGGCGTTAACCCCTTGGTTAACCCACCTGTTATTTCCAAGATTCCTTCCAGTTCTCACGCAGGAAGGGAGGTATTAGAATATGCAAAACTCTAGACATAAACCTGTCTTCCCCAAATGACCAGAGCCCGACACTAAGGCCATGTGTAATTCTGCTCTTTCTTACTCAGATACTTCAATCCACAAGGACTGAGGAGCAAAACAAAAACCAAAACAAACAAAAGTCTCTGGGAACTACAACCACTTTAACTGTAATAGTGTGTGGTCTGTTGTCCCAGAGTACTTATTGAATTGCAAAAATAACACAAAATATGGCAAAACTCTAAGGTTTGGAAAAGGTAGGTGCTGGATACACAAATCCTTGCTATATATATATTTATTTTCTCTGCATTTCTTTATGTTTGAAATATTTGATAAATTTAAAAGGGCATAATGGTTGTTAAAAATGCAAGTAATATATAAGTATAGACTATATAACCCCCTCAAAATTTTCTCCTCTCCTCAGAAGTTATCAAACAATGGTTTGTTATTCTATTCAAGCCTTTCTCTTTCTCTCTTCCTTTCTTTCTTTTTCTCTTTTGCATATCTATACGTTACCTATATATAGTTTGTTTTAACATAAATGGGATCATTACATACATGTTATTCTGTGACTTATTTTGATTCTTAACCAATCTTGAATTTTTCTGTATCACAACATTCAGATTTACCTCATCCTTAAATATTTTAGAATGAGGCAGTTCTACAGATCACATTAAATGAAAAAGGAAGGGGAAGGACAGTGTATATTTGTGTGACACAATAATGAAAGAAGATACATGTAGATGTTCGTAAGAGCATAAACCATTTCTAGGAGGGTACACAAGAGACTTGCTAAGTTTTCTGGGGATGGGAGTGTGGAGAGGAGAAACTGGGGGTGGGAGAGAAAGAAAGCAATTTAAAAACAATTTTTAAATAGTGGAGCATTTCATAAATACAATCGAATTTATAAAATATTTATGTACTCTTAAAGAATTACACTCAGCTGTCCACCATCTAGATTAAGAAACAGAAAATCACCAGTACCTTTCACTGTTCATATTCCCTGCCCCAGAGTTGAGTTTTTTCCTGCATTTTGTGTTAATCACTCCTTTGCTTTTATTTATGCTTTACCACTTATGTATTTATAACTAAATAATATTTATTTGGTTTAGATTGGCCTGATTTTGAAACTCATAGGCTCAAAAAGCACAAATAAAATGAAATTCAATTTTGAGTAATACATCTATATAGTATAAAATTCAAAAGGTACTGCAACATATAAAATGAAATTAAATCTATAAGGTTCAAAATCAGGCAACACTAATGCATATACATGGTAAAAGTTTCACACTGTACCAAAGAAAAAGTTTTCTTCTCTTTTCCCAGTTCTTTTCCCCATTCAAAAATTTTATTTCTTTCCAAAGAAAATTTTCTGTGCATATAAAAAAAAATGTAGATATAGATATATCCCCTTTGGTTTACATAAGTGGTCATCACAATTTAGTATCATTCTGCACCTTGTTTTAATTTAAGGATATCATGAAATCATTTTACATCAGTATATATAGAGCTACCTTATTCTTTTTAATGATTTGATAGCATTTCATTGGGCAGATAAATGGTCCAAGAATTATTTAATCAGTTCCCCAACTTTTAGATCGTTTTCAATCTTTTCCTGATGGAAACAGGGCTACAATGAACTGCATCTTTGGGTTTGAGTCTGACAATAGGATATATATCAGGAAGTAGTTATCCATTTCTAAGGCTTCCTGCCCCATCACCAATTATCTGTCCCTGAGAAGTTTATTGGTCAGATCTGGGTAGGTGGGACAATTTTATATCCAACTGGCATCCCCAGGTGCCTACAGTGCCATGCTCTTGCAGGCACTCAGAATGGGTGGTTTAAGGGCTAACACTCCAAACATTCACATTGTACCAGATGGCTCCTACTAGAAAAACTTTGCAGATATTCCTGGCCTCCTTCCCCCGAGATGAACTCTGGAAAACACTCTAAGGTTGCACTGGACTAGTGTCCAGTAAGATAGACACTAGCTACATATAGTTATTTAAATTTAATTAAAATTAAATAAAATTCAACATTCAGTTCCTTTATCCCACGAGCCACATTTCAAGCGCTCAACAGTCACATGTGTCTAGAAGCTCCTATATTACACAGCACAGACATAGAACATTTCCATCTGCATGTTCTATGGGGCAGCCCTGCAGGGAGTTATAGTGAGAAGCCTGTGGGCTCTGGATTCCTACAAGCCCTGGGTTCAAATCCTGTCTTTGCTATTTCACAGCCCTAAAATGTGGGCAGGTTACTTGACCTCTCTGTGAGCCTCAGCTGTAAAAGTGGGCAATTACAGACCCTCCCTCAGAACTTTGACGAGTTTTCAGAGATAGCAAATGTGAGAGGCTTTGCTCAAAGACATAGTTAGCTCTCAAAAATCAGCAGCTATTATAATTATACATGAATATGACAGCTTCAGTTTCTAACAGTGTGAAAATGCTGGATTCTAAGAGTTCCATAGAGTATCAGCCCTTCCTAACTTGCTTGGGAAGCTGGCGGCCCACCCCTTGCCCAGCCTGGAGTAAGTCTACAATCGGAGCTAGTTTTTCTACCTTCTGTCTTTAGAGCACAGAGCCGCTCAATCAACCTTTGATGAATGAAGAAATGAATGAATGGGGCCAATACAGCCAGGATCTGACTGGGCCTTTTGTAAGAATGAGCAAGAGGCTCCAGGAAGTCATTATTATTATGCTTCAAATACAACTGGCCTGGTCTTTTTTTTCCTGCAAGAAAAGACAAACAAACAAACAACCCTCTCCTGGGGAATCACCTTAAGCTTCCCTCTGCTCTCTCACCTACAGTCCACTCCTCGGGGACAATTAGCCAAGGAAGGAGCTCAAGGGTCTTGGCCCTTCCCCCTTCGGCCCAACATAACCTCCTCCCCCCACTTTGAGCAAATGCCTGGGATTCTTTCAACAGGAGGACAAAGCCTTTCATCTGCCAATTACTGATAAAGAGAAAATGCAAATATTGCTGGGAAGGTGATCCATCAAGGGCCCAACATTTATTGAGTGACCACTTAGTAGCGGGCGGCAGGGTAGGCATTCTGGGGGCGTCAAAGGGGAACAAACCCCCGGCTGGCCCATTCTTCTCTCTGGTCTGTGGTTTCCTGGCGGTTTGTAGAGGGAGGGGATTAAATTAGGTGACTACTCAACCCCTTCCCACTCTGACAGGCCAGGAACTCCCCATCGGGGTGATATATGGACTTAACTGTTTTTACACTAAGGTGTCTGCCATTGGGTCTTTTCCTGATACCAGCTTTTGGGGACACCATGAGACCACATGGGGAGGCAGTAGGGTCTTTGGGAGGAAAGGAGAATTAAGACCAAGTGTTTTATTTCACAGTTTTGCTTTCCTGCACTTAACTCATGACCTTCCAGCCCACTGCACCCTCCTTTGAACAGGTTTATCTCATTATGTGGGAGCAGTGAAGATGGTCAATATCCAAAACAAGGATGTGATGGCAGAGCCAGGCTCCAGTCTGAGCCCCAGCAGCCCCATCTATATAAGCTGTGTGATCTGGGGGACTGGCTTTCCCTTTCTGAGTTACAGTTTCCTCATCTGCAAAATGAGGAATAACAAAACTATTTCCCTTAAAGGGTTCTTGCAAAAGAGAGAAGCAAATACAACGGTCCTTGGTTCTTGACAGAGGCTGAAGGCAAAACCCCTCTCACGCCCATTAAGCCAAGGTGGGCGATTTCAGTTTGGAAAAAAATTTTGAAGTTCGCCAGCTAGTGGACTTCGATTAAAACAGACTTCAACGAGTAGTCTTTGGAGGGTGGGTGGAAAAAAACACAGAAAGATAGGACAGGAAACTTCAAGGTGAGTGAGGGGGAAGCTGTTTCTTACGCTGACGGCTCACATCTGATCTCTGATGGGGAAGCCACTTCCTCTCCACTTATCTGTGATCACTGTGTTGACACCGGGGAGGATATGAGGGTAAAGCAATCAACCAGATTCAAAACTTCTCTGAGCCTCAGTTTCCCATCTGCAAAATGATTTGCTCCAACTATCCCACAGAGTTCATGAGAGAAGTAAAATTAAAAGTATGGGAAGTTTGTTTGCAAAGCCTGTTATGAGCAGGTATAAGGCTCTTTTACTGTAGCCCTGGTGCCATGTCATCTCATCGTGATCTTTACCTCCAAGATCAGGCCTAGTTGGGCTGGAAGAATGTTTAGGGCCAGTTTTTCTCTCAACCAAAGTCGACCTGACTGTTGTTCATGATGGACTTACAGGATAACACGTTTAGGATTCCAGTTTTGGGGGTGGTCACAGTGAATGAGGTATGTGGACAGCATACTGAGATCTAATGATACTCCATATTTGTATAGAGGGTGCCCATACCTCCGCCAAGAAGCGCTGTAGGCTTAATCAAGGGGTGCCCAAAGTTCCCCGCGCCCCATCCCAGCGCCTTGCACCTTTCCACCGACATTTCTCCTGTAAACCGCCAATAAGGGCTTACCCTTCGCATGTTTGCCAGCTGCGTTAGGAGGCGCCAGATCCGATTCTCTCGGTAGTTCACTCCTGAGCATCTATTTCCTCCGCTTGGCGAGCGCAGGGACCTTTAAAAAATGTCCAACTTCTCTTGCAGGGTTTGTCGCCTAGTAAAGGACTCCACAGACGCGGGCAGAGTGAATGAATGAAAGGCAACGTCTTCCGGTCAGCTCGGGTCTTAAAAGGCTTTGGTCTGGCTGTATTTCCTGTACCTGTGTGTATGTGGATCCTTATCTTTGAGTCCAGGAGTTTAAAAGCTATGCAGTCCGTACAGGTATGGAGCTGCGCTAATTTCTTCCTGAGCCCCCAAATGCCTCCTCCGTATGGCAGGTCCGCTTATGGGGATCTAGAGAGGATCCCCCAAAAAAAGACGTAGTAGAAAAGAAAAAAAATTATATATACACAAAATGTTTTGAATTTGGGTCGGCCAAGTAGGTAACGAGGTGGGGTGAGTGAAGGAAGAGGAAGAGGGGTAGCCCGTGGGGGCCGTGGGCAATGGGGGCAGGGATTGAGGTGGGAGGTCGTTTTTGGGGGGTGCCAGGCCCCGGGGGCTTTCACTCCAGCATGCTCGGCTTGCATTTCCGCGCCTCCCGCTGAGGCCAGCCGTGCAAATCTGCACCTCCCTCCCCCCCCCCTCCCTCCTTCCCTTCCTCCCTGCCCCGCCATCTCCGGGATGCGCCCGCCGCCTGCAACTCAGCCCTTCCAAAAGTCAGCTCTGCACACAACTCCCGGGCGGCGGCGGCGCCTGCGTGCAGAGGCGCACTCGTGACCCAACAACAAAACAGCGATGCCAGGGCGCTAACGGCGCCCGGTGCCTCCCGGGCGCCCTCCCCGCCCCACACCTCCTCAGGCCACCGCCCCCGCCCACCCCCATCCCGGGCCGAGTGCCCCCCCCCAAGCCGGGCCGCGGGCTCGGAGCGCGATCGGCAACAATGTTTACGTTCCGGGGATTATGACGTCGACGCCTCCCCCCACAACTGCTGAAAATGGTTTCCTAGGACTTTGCAAACGGATCTGCTTAAGTGTTGGTGCAAAACTTTGTAGATCTCGGCTCTGGCTAGCTTTATTTATTTATTTTTTGGTTTGTTTTCTTTGGTCTTCCCTCCTTCCCCCCTCCGCCAAAATGCAGGGGGCAGGAGTGTTGACAATTAATTGGTGAACTCTCCTAAAAAAATGGAGGCAGAGAAAGACTCTGGAAGAAGATTGGTGTGTAGCTTTTTTTTTTTTTTTCCAAATCTGTATCTGGTATATGATAGATCTATTTTTTTTGTTGTTGTTTCTTGCTGCCTTTTCTTTCCTTTTCTGTATTTTGCAAGAGGACCGGAAAAAAATATAATAAATTGCATGCAAAAGGAAGCAAGCAGCTTACTCCTCCAGTCCCTTGTGAGGCTCAGAGTCTCAGACACTTAAGTGGGGAGGTGGTAGCGGGGAAAGGCGTGGAGGGGGGGCTCAGCGGGCTCGGGTTCGCCCGGAATCTGGGGGGCTGCGGGGCTGGGCGCTCGGCGGTGGAGGGAGGAGGCAGGGGATGCGGGGAGTGGCGGGGGATTCTCCTTAGGAAGTGAGTGTGCGCGCGCGCTTGTGGGGAGATGAGACAGCTGCTGGTGCGTTTTGGGGTCTCCGATGGGAGCTTTGTGGCGGGCCGTCTGCCTCTCCCCCTCCCAAGCCCCGAACCCCCCCTCCCATCTCTTCTTCTTGCACTGGCGGTCGGTCGGCGGGGGCGGCTGGGGTCTCAGCCCTTCCATTTCAGCTTTCCAGCTTCCCCCGTAGCTCGGGGGCGGCTCCAGTCTTAGAAATGCCGCCGGCCCCCGGTTCCGGCTTCCCGGCTCTGCCGCTGCGGCCGCCAGGGCTGCTGTTAGCGCCGAGCCGGGCGCTGCGGCGGCTCCTCCCGGGGCCTACAAATGCCCCGCCAGCCCGTGCGCCGAGCCCCCCTCGCGGGTTACATAACCAGGCTCCCGGCCGAGTGGGCAAAACCTAACACCTCTCGGGGGTGGGGGGCAAGGGAGACTCCCCCAGATATCCCTTCCATGGCCTCCAAAGATGCAGGAGGGGAGTGCCCTGTTTAGGGCGCAGCTTGACCCTGGGGGCGCTGGCCCCTCTCATTATGCCCATTTTCAGCATCTTTGGCTTTTGCGCAAAGTTGCTCCGGTCGCAGTGGTGGGGTGCAGGGGGCGCGCGGCTCCTGCACCTGTTCGAGCTGGGCCCAGGGTGAGAGGCGACCCCCACTTCCCCCAGTAATGTCCCGGGCTCTCTGGTTTGGGTCCCTGCAGCGCCCGATTGACCGCCAGAGATACGACGAGAACGAGGACTTGTCGGACGTGGAGGAGATCGTCAGCGTCCGCGGCTTCAGCCTGGAGGAGAAGCTGCGCAGCCAGCTGTACCAGGGGGACTTCGTGCACGCCATGGAGGGCAAAGGTGAGGCGCCCCCTCCTCGGGCAGTCCTCCGCGGCGCGGCCCGAGCGCACGTGGGGAGGGAGCTGCCGGTGGCTGGGTTCGTATTTCGCGCCCGCGTCCCCCATTCCAGGGGATCCGGTGACGAAACGAGGCCGAGCACTGGGGGGGTGGGGTGGGCTGGGTGGCGAGGGAGGAGGGCAGGCGGGAACCGGGGCCGGGCGTGGGCCTAGGCCCGGCCCGCGCCCACCACCAGCCCCAGGGTGGGTAGAGCCAGGGGGCTGGCGGACTGAGGGACCTGGGGACCGACGGGCAGACAGATGGAGGGCGGGTGCGCCGCGTTCTACCCCTCCCGGAGCCGGCCCAGCTCCTTGCGCTGCACGAGGTGCAGCCGATGGGCTGGAGCAGGGCTGGGGCACCCCAGGGGTATTGGGGTGGGGGACCCCCAGGCCTGTAGTCTCTCAAACCCCGTGACATTTCGGGCCCTGCCAGTTAGGACCTGGCGCTGGGGACGCCCCCGGTCACTTAGTGACACCTCCTCAGGCCTGGGGTCTGCTGAGCTCCATCACCTTGTGAGCCCTGCTAGATTGGAGCAGGGTGGGTGACCCGGAGGTGTTGGCTGGATCCCGCTTAAGCCTGAGGTCTCTAGCCCTGCATCCCTGATGCTTGAAGTGGGGACTGTGGGTAAGGGGGTTATCGCCCCATCAGGCTTCAGGCTGCCCCCTGGCAGTTTGAGGTGAAGAGTTGGGGCACCCCCCCTGGGAAACAGGGTCTCTTCCCAGGGCTGAGGCCTTGAGAGCTCTGTCCCTCTTGTGGGCCCTGCCAGTTTAGAGCAGAAGTTGGAGAAGCCTCTGGGGTTTGGGAATGTCACCCTAGCCTGAGACCTTCAGGGCCTACCTCCCTGACCCTGGTACTAGCAAAGTGTCTGGGAGTGTCTTCCAGACTTTGAGTTTATGCTCTGTCTGGCTTGGGTCTAAGGCCTGCAAGGCCCCCGGTTTGGCCTGTGGGATTGGGGTTTTGGATTTGCCCTGCCTACTTAGGCATCTCCCTATGCCCTTCTGGGGTTTGTAAGTTCATTTTTGCCCCTCAGACATTTGGGTTTCCTTTACATTACTCTGTTCCCATTTTGTTTATCCCCTTCCCCCTTGGAAAACCCTCCCATCCCTCAGTGAGCTGATAACTGGGAAGGCCTCCCGCCTCCAGGTTCCGGTTGAGTGGCTAGGGCTATGGGGTTAGCTCCTAGGAGAGACCGCCTAGCTTTGCATTTTTGAAGTTTCTCTTTTGTGCCCATTGCTTCCTGGAGTGCCGGGCTTCGGTGGTAGGGGGTAGTTGTGCGAGGAGGGAAGAAGAAATTTCTTCCAGCCTGCCAGGTCTTAAGAGAGCCTTGCACCCAGAGGCCAGACAGTTCAGGGGTCTAGTCTCAACTACATTTAAATTTCCTTAGCACAAATGGGGTTTTAATTCCTCTCCTTCCCCATTTTTCTTGAGTTGTTTGGCGGATCGGAGGAGAAAGCAGTATGCAACTCTTCCTGGTCATTGGTGAGGAATTCTCTGCCCAGGATCTCAGTGTTTTCTCAGGCTCATTTGAGGAAGTTGAAGCTGACCCTGGGGGTGGACTCTGGGTGTGTGTGTATGGGGTGGGCTGGGGGTTTCCAGCGAGGGAGAGCCCTTAAATCTGCTGTCCAGGCTCCTTTCAAGAGAGAGGGCTCTAGGGTTTTTGGTTGTTAATTCAGATCTTGCCCCAAAACTCGAGGGAGGAGCTGAGAAACAGAAGGAGCCCTTAGCCTGGATTCAAAATAGAAGCTTCTTAAACTTCTCTGCCTTTAAATCCTTAGGAATCCCCATTCACTGGGAGCTCCTGGGGATCTGAGCTGCTAAGGTCAGGACTTTCCCCGGCTCTGGTTTTGTTCTCTCTCCTCTGAGCAGAGTTGCCTTGGCCTCTCCCTACCCCCACTCCCCCAAGCTGCCCTAGTGAACTGTTCCCTGGGGCAGGGGCTTCAGTGGCCTGGGATCTCCTCTATCTCCCTTCTGACTGGCCAGGGAGGGCTTGTGCCTTTGTGAATTGCTTCAGTTACCTGAGGATTTGGGGATATGAGGATTTATCTCCGCCTCCCTCACCTCCATATTTAGGGATATGGTTGGGTCAGATCCCCTACTTTTGGAACTCAGGAGGATGGAAGCTAAGGCTTCCTTCGTGCTCTAGGGCTTTGGATAAGGATGTTGGGGGTCTACACTAGACAAGCGTCAGTCAGACAGGAAAACTACGCGGTGAGTTTTCTTCAGGCCTCACTATGTCCCCTTCACACAGTCTTCACCTGGGGAGCATGCCTCTTGGTTATCCAGCTGAAGCAAGTGTTCTGATGGCTGCAGCAGAATTTCACTATTAAGGCAGCAAAGCTGTGCCCAGTTCTCTAGTTATTTTGGCACCAGATACACAGTTTCCAGGGAAACCGGCTTTTCCCCCCTCCCCTTCACCATGCAGGATATTACAATAAGATCTTCCCTGATGCTCGGCTACAATGAGAACCCTCCTCCCAGCCTCCTCTCTGGGGCTTCAGATCCTCCCAGGTGGCATTCTTCAATTTTGCAGTTCCTTTACTTTCTGAGCTCAGCTTGGGATGTGTTTCTCCATCCGTCCCTCTCTTGCAGTGATAACTGGGCT